ATGGTGGGTCCAGGGCCTCTTCTACCACATGGTGATTCACCTCTTTTACTTTTAACTATCTGAAATGTTTTGTTTTAATTCTGAATCTGTACTCTATGTGTTTGCCTCTGAGTTGATTGTCTGGGAATTGTCTACCTTGTCCGAGAAAGCCCTAAAACAGTAGTCCTCAACCTTTTTAAGTATGAGGGCCTCTTTGTAAAATAATAAACTTTGCAGAACCTCCGATGATAATTATACTATTAGTATCTACCAATGGAGAAAATGGATGTTAAAGGCAAGTTGCACTGAACTTAGTAATGCTTTTAAGTAAACTTGTATTTGGTTAAATTCAACAGCACATGTATACATGTGAAAAAATATTAATACCTCTATGTGCAAGATGTGAGGCAGCGTAGCAGAGTGAGTGAATAGAGAGCCAGTCATGGAATCAGGAAGGCCTGGGTTCAGGTCTTATGTCTAACCTATACTGGTTCTGTGACCATAGGCAACTCACCTAACATCTCTTGGGTAGCTCTTTTAAGAGTTATAATTATAGATGGGTTACAGTTATGGATGGGTTATGTTATAGATGCAGTATGTTATAGACTGGTTATGCTATATCTGGGTTATAGGGTTGTTATTTTTTTGGTGAGGTAATTGGGGTTAAGTGACTTGCCCAGGGTCACAGAGATAGTAAATGTCAAGTGTCTGGTCTGAGGCTGGATTTGAACTCAGGTCCTCCTGACTCAAGGCCCGGTGCTCTATCCACTGTACCACCTAGCTGCCCCTAGATGGGTTATAGTTATGAATGGGTTATGCTGTAGATGGGTTGTGGTTATGGGTGAGTTATGTTATACATGGGTTATGCTATAGATGGGTTGTAGTTATGGATGGGTTATGTTATAGATGAGTTATGCTATAGATGGGTTCCCAAACCACACCAATGGAAGGAGTCCCCCCCCCCCAAGGCCTCCGCCCATACTAATGAAATCACAAATCAACACAGAGACAGAGAGAGAGATAAAGGGGTGGGGAGAAGGAGGAAGACAGAAACACAGAGAAAGAAACTAGTGATCATTGCAGTCAGACAGCCTATAATCCTGGAAGGATTATAGTTTATCTGAATCTCTTTAAGTATGATGTAGTGATAAGAGTCTTGGATTTGAAGGCAGAATGCAAGTATTCAAATTTTAGCTCTGTGACCTTGGGTGAGTAAGTCACCGTAACCATCTGGGTCCCATTTTCCTTATTGGTAAAATGGACTAGATTTGGATTCAGAGGTCACGTCTAACTTCAGATCTATGATACTGTAAGTCACTTAGCCCTTCTCAGCCTCAGTTTCCTTGTCTGGAAAATAAGGAGGATTGACTAGATGGCCTTGGAGGGCACTTCCATCTCTGTCACCTTGAATGGGTTCCAATCTCAACTCTGTTGTCCTTAAACAAGTTCTCTGGACATCAGTTTCTTCACTTGTAAAATGAAAGGGTTAGACTCAATTCCTAATGTCCCTCACTCTCAGCTCAGTCTCAACCAATTGACAAGTATGTCTCAAGCAACTACTGTGTGCCAAGCTCTGGAGACCCAAAGACAGAAATGAAGCAGCCCCTTCCCCCAAGGACTTTACATTATGTGAGGACACATGTCAGGGAGGCAACGTGTACACATATAAATATATACAAAATAAATACAAAGTAGCTGGGAGAGAAGACACCAGTCCCCAGGGAGGCAGTAGACACTTGAGGCAGAGGGACCAAATAGGAGATTACTGCCATAATCCAGCCAAGAGATGATGGGGCCTAACCTAGGAGTGGGGCTATGGGAGTGGAGAAAAGTGACCTCCAAGCCCATCTAGTCCAGGCCTCTTATTTTACAGATGAGGAAACTGAGTCTGAGAAAGGCTAAGTGACTTATAGCCTCATAGACCTAAAACTAGAAGTGACCTCAGGGTCATTCAAGCCAACCCCCTCACTTTAGAAAGGAAGAAAATGAGGCCCAGAGGGGTGAAGGATTTATTTGCCCAAGGACACACATGTATCATAAGTAGCAAATGGGAGAGACTGTAGCAGTAGAAACAGCAAGACTTGTCAATGAGGAAGAGTGAGGGACTGAGGATGATGCTGAGGTTGTGCTCCAGCGTGCCCAGATAGATGGCAGTGCCCTCTCTGGGGGGGGCTCTGGAAAATGAGGGGATGGCTTTAGATGACTTGGGAGGTCCCCTCCAGCCCTGACATCTTCTCACCTCCCAGTGAGAAGTGGCTCTCCCAGGATCAGTGACCGAGGAGTCTTCCTCAGCACCCCTGAGGACATGGGGACTTAGCTTGTCATGCAGCTCAAAGCCTCCACTGGTCCCCTCAGTGATCAGAGCCCAGTCCTGATTCCCTACGGCAGTGAATGACACAGCCAAGCAAAAAGGAATGCTGAATGTGCGTTGCCCAGACCCAGTGTTTCAGCCCAGGTGTGAGGCTGTGGTGGGGTTTGGTTTTTTTTTCTAGTCATAGTTAAGAAAAATCACAATTAAACGCTCCTGTTCAGACCAGCTGGCTCTAGATATGTTGATATGCATCATTTTGCTGTATTAAAAAAAAAAGCCATTATAGACCCAGAGTTCCCTCCTCCCTCTTCATCTATAGATGTGGTGTGTCAAAACCTACACGATTTTTTTTCAGATGGTGTTTTTCCTTATGGGGAGAAACCCCTCTCCAAGTCTGTATTCTTCTGCTCCCTGGCCCTTTGAACAGCTCACAGTACCTTCTGCCAGTAGAGGCACCCACTGAGGCCCCAATCTTGTTTAATGAAGAATCCTGCCCATATAAGTCCTTAAGAAACTATTAGGCAGATTGGCTTCCATTGGGAAGGTAGAGAGGAGGCAGCCAGCCCGCTTTTCTCATGCCTTACATTTCTATAGCACGTTGGACACTTTCCGAAGGGCTTTCATGGGATTTGTCTTCTTTTATTCTCATAACAACCCTGGGAGGCAAGGCAGGAATCTCTCAGAGGACAAAGGAGGAGAGAGGAGCAGGGCAGGGCAGAATGGAGAAGGAACTGCAGAAAGTGGGATTTGGGCCCAGCTGTGGAATCCAGAGAAGCCAAGATCACACAAGTTGGAAGTGACTGAATCGGGATTCAAACCGGGGTCTTCCAACTCCCATCCATTTGTTCTTCCCTTGGGCTTCCTTGGTGTCTTCAGACCACCCTAGACTGCTAGTAGTACTGGTGTCCAGTAAGCACAAAAAAAGAACCGTGTGGGTGGTGATCTCCTGGTCCAGCTTCCTGCTGTTGCCTGGTAACCTTGAGAGGGGGCTATGGGAACATGGTTCCTGGGAAGGAGATTTGGGGCAGCCAGGTGACCCCGGGGTAGAGCATAGGGCCTGGAGTCAGAAAGACTTGAGTTCAAATCCAGCCATAGACACATACTAGCTATGTTGCCTTGGGCATTTACTTAGCCTCTGTCTGCCTCAGTTTCCTCATCTGTGAACTGGGGATATGAACAGCACCTACCTCCCAGGGTTGTTGTGAGAATCAGATGAGATTAATTGTAAAGTGCTTAGCACAGTACCTGGCACATAGTAATAATATAAATATATAAAGTATGTATTTATAAATATATGATATATAAATATTGTTATTATTAGGGTACCTCTTGAAGGCTATTAATAACTGCCACAGCCAGAAGTGCAGCAGAACATGTGGGTTGTGTCTGTCTAATCTGGATGAGCCCAGGCCACTGAGCATCCTTCAGAAAACACAGGAAGCCGGGAGAGCCCCTGACACAGCCCAGGGCAGCCTACAGCAGCTGTCTCTCACTCCTGTTCTGCCGAATTAAGACTAGTTTTTCCTACTTCCGACCTGAAGGTGAAGTGGATGTCTGAGGTTCTCCAGCTCACTCTGCCATCAAGGCCCTGGCTGCAAATTACATCCCAGGCCCATGACTTCAGCCTGGTGCACAGACGGATGCACCCACAGCCCAAATTACTTCCGCACCTTCAGCGTCAGCCTCCTCCATCTGGGAACAGAAATGACCAACTAGTCAGGGGGTGGCACGGCCCTCACAAAACAGGGATGAGACCCAGAGTGAGGGACAACGTGGCTCAGCTGTTGCCTCATTCTCTAAATTGCTTCCTTTCTCCGAGCCTGTTTTCCCATCTGTAAAAATGGGTCTAATCACTACTACTCCCCATCTTAATTGGTGAGCTGTGAAAATGAGTGAAATCGTGGACAAAGGTCTAGGGAGGTTCTCTCTTGATGGCCCAAGCTAAGGTGGTCTTAAAGACCCATCACTGTAACAATAATAGGCAGACTGAGTAGCCAAGGTAATCAGTATATAGCGTAAAGACCACTGGGTTTAGAGTCGAGGGGTCCAAAGTCGGAATCCCTGCTCCAACACATTGTCATCATCATCACCATCATCATTATCACCATCATCACCATCATCATCACCATCATCACCATCATCATCACCATCATCATCATCCTCATCATTGCAGGACAGTGTAGTTAAAGGAGTGCTGAATTTGGAGTCATAGTCCCTGGGTTCAAATGCCAGCTCCACCTCTCACTTGCTGTGTGGCCTTGGACAAGTCACTCATCTTTCTAAAACTCAATTTCCTCATCTATGAAATGAAAGTATTCAACTTAATGGTCTCTGAGATCCCTTCTAGCTCTGGATCTTTTGTCCAATAATCTAAAAAAAAAAAGAAAAAGAAAATTCATCACCCTGGACCTCAGTTTCCTCATCTGTAAAATGCCGGGTGGGGGTTGGCCTACCTGGCCTCTCCAAGCCTAGGTCTCTCATCCTATGAATCTATTAAGTAGACTAGATGAATAATGGCAATAATAAGAGTCCGTATTACTGCAATACTTTAAGGGCCTCAGAGTTTAGCCCCCAGCTCTCTGTCACCCTCTCAGAGCTTACACCTGCCATGCGTTACTGTTGGCATTGTCCTGTGTTCATAATGGTGGCAAGTGTAATGATGCCCGAGTCCTCCATGGACAAGGACTAACACAAAACGTTTACTTTGCAGGAATCTGGGGAAGTCCGGATTGCGCGTCTCCTGCCTGGGTCTCGGTAAGTTGCCTCTCCCCAGGTTCAGGCTTAGTGCTGTGTCCAGGGATGTCTGGCCGGGGGAGGGGACCCTTTCTGCTGCAGGAGGCAGCTTGACTCTCTGGCCACCTGGGAGGTCAAGGCACCAAACCCAGGGCTCCTCAGTTGCCATGACAGCAGAGCCCTTCTGAGCTGAGCACAGAGATATCTTCTGCTGGTTGTTTGCATTTGGGACTCGGAGGAGGGAGTCTGGCCATCGTCCAAAGGGCCCCCGTTCCCTCCAGAAAGCAAAAGACCCTCTCATCAGCGTTTCCTCGGCGGAAATATCATCCTTCCTCCAAATAACAAGATTTGGCCCAATGAAAAGCAGTGTTCTCTTTCTTGCATCTGAGACCCCTTTCTCTGACCTTCACACTGTCTAGACCTTCACCATAACACCCTCCCATCATCTTCACGCACGCACACACACACACACACACACACACACACACACACACACACACACACACAGAGCTATCAGGAGATTTCCTCACGAGGTGATGATAAGTTTCTGCCCCCGGAAGTCTTCAAACAAAGGCTGGGTGACACCCTTATTAATGGATGTTGTGGGGTGGGGGGTGGTCCTCCTTCAGATACAAGTTGAATTTGAAAACCTCTGGGGGCTCTTAAATCCTGTTCCTCTTTCTGCCATGCCCACACCCACCCCCTCCTGTAGAATGAGTGAGCCTATGGGCTCTTCTTGGTATTTGGAAAGGTGGCCTGGCATCCCCTCGTATTACAGTACATTGCAGCCTATCTCTGTGACCAGTCCCACAGAGAATTCAGAGTCTTTTGTGTATTCTGTGGATCACTGATTCTCGGTCTCATATCAGTCTGGGGGTCTCTAAGGGTAGAGAGAACCCACTTAGCACCAAAACTTCTCATGTGCATGAGCACAGATGAGCCCTGAATCATGGGCTTTCCGTGCTCAGAGCAAAGAAAGACTCCAGGGCCAAGGAGGACCACCAGACACCATCCCAATCACTTGCCAGCTCAGGAGCGCTAATGTGTGTGTTTCTGTCCTTTGCAGGAACGTGGGTGACCTTTGGAGGCCAGGTCACCGATGAGGTAAGGGTATTTTTCTGCTTCTGGGGTCCCCTTTGCTCCTACCTTCCTGCCCTTCCACAGCCTGCCCTGCATCCTCAGAGGGCTGTCCCTTCCGTCTTAGAATCCCATGCTCCCTTGAGGGCCCAGTTCATGCGCCTTTCCTCCTCCCCCACTTCCTTCCCGCTGAAATGACTGTAATTTGGCTTTATATTTATTCACATGTGTACATGGGCTCATGGATTTGAAGCTGGGTGGGACCTCAGAGGCTGTCTAGCCTACCTCCCTCATTTTACAGATGAGGAAACTGAGGCCCGGGGAGATAAAGACTTGTCCAGGACTCACAATTAGGCAGAATTTGAATCGAAGCTCTCTGATTCCAAATCTGATACTCTTCCCACCATCTTCCACACCCACACCTAGTAGAATGTAAGCTTCCTGAGGACAGGGATTGTGTTTTGAATGGGGGTTTTGTTTATTTTTTAATCTTTGTTAGGGATCTAACACCTAGCAGAACTGAATATGATTTTCCTTATTCCTGTTACCTGTGTCTATCTCGCAACCTAATACCTCTAGGGAGGAGAATAAGGATTTCTTTTGAAACTTTTTTTTTCTTTTTTAAGGCAATTGGGGTTAAGTGACTTGCCCAGGGACACACAGCTAGTGTCAAGTGTTTGGTCTGAGGCCGCATTTGAACACAGGTCCTCCTGACTTCAGGGCCGGTGCTCTATCCACTGTGCCACTTAGCTGCCCCTGAGAATAAGCATTTATTAAGCACCCACTGCATGCCAGGCATTGTGCTAAGTGCTTTACAAATATTATCTCATTTGGATACTCACGACAACTTGGGAGGTGGATGTTTTACAGATCAGGAAACTGAGGCAGACAGAAATTAAGTTACTTTCCTGTAAGTGTTTGAGGCTGAATTTGAACTCGGGCCTTCTTGACTCCAGGCCCAGTGTTCTATCTAGCTGCCTGTAGCAACCCTCCAGCATTCGTAAGGTCATTTCAGACATTCAGACTCTTCACCTCACAGATCCAACTAGGACTGCATAAATAGCATTCCTATTTATAAACTCCTCATTACTCTGCTTGGGCATTTATCTTGAATCCAGATGCATTTGTCAAGTTTCATTTCTTCTTCCAGTACTGAGTTTTTGGGTTAAAGATGAACATAAGAAAAAAACAAGAATTCTCTGTGTTTCTGAAAAAAAATTTATCCATACCTATGACTTTATCAGGCTGGGGGGCTCCTAACATGTAAATTCCCTCCTAAATCTGATTTATGGTTTTAAGAGAATTGCGTTAAGTACTGAGAGGTGTCTTTGCCTTGATTATACCTATAGTTGGTATCAGAAGCAGGTCATGAACTCTGGTCTTCCTGATCCCAAAGCTGCCCCACCCTGCCTTTCTTATTTTTTTAAAAATATATGCAGCAATATATCCAAAAAATTGCATATTTTTTCTTGGAGGGAGGGGAGTGTACATCCTGAAAATATGGATGGTAGACTTTAGTTTCAAATTTAATAAGTGAATTCATCCAAGAATTTCTTATTTGCAAAAATTGCTCAGTTCGTGACTTCTTTGAGGGGAATCTATATGAAAACAGAATCAGTTACTTTTTTAAAGATTTAACTTGTTAATTTAATTTGATTTGTTCGTTTAGCTATGTAGCTAGTAATTTGTGCCATGTGTGAGCAATTCACAGGATATTGCTTCTGCATGGCCCTAGTTGAGAGAGCTAAAATCCAGTGAGAAGCTCTATAAAGACCGAAACAAAAGGAGAGTGACCCAAAAATGGAAGGGACTGGCCCGGTCATCAGTGAGTTCCTCATCAGTGAAGGCCTTTGACCCAAGGCCAGGTGATCACTTGTCAAACGTCTTATAGATAAGAGTTCCTCAATCAAATGGGTTTTAGACCAGATGACTGTAAAGATTCTCTTCTGGCTCTCTGATGGTTTCAGGACTGAATATCTAAGGGAGAAACAATATTTTAAAGAATTGTGATGTCATTAGGCTGGCAACCCCAGGAATTATTTTATTTTACCAATGAAACTATCTGGTTTGTGAATGTTTGGAAAAGAAAGCAGCAATCATTAGAAGTTAGCATGAGTTCACTAAGAATAATTTACATAAGTAAATTTTTTTTTAATTGCCAAACTGGTTACCATAGACATAATTTATCTTGTTTCCATGAACCAGTTAACAGCCTCTTATTATATACTGGTAGACGAATGGGGCTCTGTCAGTAGTGATGGGTGACACATGGCCCCATCTTCTGTATTATCTGTGCCCTTCTCACTTAAAGAGAATTTAGTGAATACTTCATATGTGCTCAGGACCATTCCTGTCACCCTCTGCTCTTAATAGGTCCTTTCTGAAGATCTGTCTTCAGTACTAGGTTCCATATTTCAGAGAGGACCTCTGTAAGCTGGAGGGTACCCAGAGGAGAGGGTCTAGCTGGTGGAAAGTCCTGACTTCATCGTGAAGAAGTGGTTGAAAGAATTGGGGATGTTTAGCCAGGAGAAGAGAAGACTCATCTGATAGCCATGGTCAGGTATTTGAAGGACCATCCCATGGAAGAGAGATGAGACTGGTTCCTCTTGACCCCAGACTAGTTACAATGGGGAGAAGTTGTAACGAAATAGATTTAGGCCTGGAGTCAGGAGAAACTTCCTAGCAATTAAAACTATTCCAAAATGGAACGGGCTGCCTTGGGATGGGGGGAGGGAGCTTCCTCCTTCCTGGACAACTTCAAGGGAACACCTGTTAGGGATGTCCTAGAGGAGGTGCTGAGTCAGGTGCTTGGTGAGTTGAACGGCCTCTGAGCTCCCTTCTGGTTAGAGAGTCCTCATGTCTGCCCAGCTCCATGTTCGCCTCTACAGCTATAGGGATATGAAGGAAATGGAAGCCATAGCACCTGCCCTCAGAGAGCTTACTGACATGAAGCAATTGGAGAGATGTAAGGCCTTCCATGATTATGTACTATGTGCTGGCACTGTAGAGACTCAGACCTGGAATCAGGAAGACCTGAGTTCAAATCCAACTTCAGACACAAGCTAAGTGAACCTGGGCAGGTTACTTTGCCTCAATTTCTTCATCTATAAAGTGGGGTTGTTGTGAGTATCAAATGAAATAATAACTGTAAAGTTCTTAGCACAATGCCTGGCACATAGTAGGTGCCATATAAATAATCGTCATTATTAAATTGAACAGCCACAAGACCTAGGGGAGTTCCAAGGAGGGAAAGATCACTTTGGAATAGGAGAGTCTGGGGAGACTTAAACAACAAGGTAGAATTTAAGGTGGGTCTTTAAGTGTAGAGGCAGTGTGATGTAGTGGGGAGAGAGCAGGCCTCTGAGACAAGAGTCCTACTTCCAATGCCATACTGACTGCGTGACCCTAGACAAGTCACTTCCTTCTCACTGCCTCAGGCAGATCTCTAAGCCAGGAAGAAGGTACCAGACTGTGTTGAGGGAAGGAGTTTCCTCACCTGGGAGTTCCCCACAGGTCCTGCCCCCATCTCTTAGGTTTAACATGGCAAAGGTGACAGGGGAATGCATCCCGAGAGGGCCCCCAATACAGCCAAAACCTGGGAGGCAGGAATGAGAGCAGCCTGGAGCAGGGAGGGAAACAGGCTGACAGGAGCAGGGAGGGATCTGAGTGGATGATCTGTGGCGGGTGTTTTTTAATTTCAGGCTAGCTTCCCCTGCCCCCAAGCACATTTCCTGATAACCTCTCTTCTAGTCACCGAAGGCTCAAGGCACACCCTAAGCTCAATAGAACTGGGAAGGCCGAGCTGATGTTTCAATCCCAGACAACACATTCCAACCGTAAATCATTTGGAGGCTGTCCTGACATTTCCACCTCTGCAGTAGCTCTTGCCCATTGAACCCACCCCTGTCTGGGCCCACCGCTCCTTTTGCAGAATGGATCTAGGGATTTGGAGTCAAAGACCTGAGTTCAAGTCCACAATGACCCTGGGCACATAGTAGCCCTATTGAGCAGCCTGTTCCTAGAAGGCAGCCTAGAAGTACAGTGAATAGAGCGCTGGGCCTGGAGTCAGGAAGACCTGAGCTCAAATCCTTATTCAGACACATATAACAAGCAACATTTTCGTGGTCCTTTGTCAGAACATTGGACCTTTTATACACTGCAAGTGATTCACATATCCATGTGTAACAAAGCTGAGCCAAAGCAATCCCACTTTTTTTCAATGTCTATCATATCTCAGCATGTCACAAACTGTTGCATGAGGATCAAGATTCTGTGTTTGATTTTTCACTGCGTGACCCTGAGCAAGTCACTTCATCTCCTTGTACCTCAGTTTACTCAACTGTAAAATGGGAATACTAACAGCACCCATTTCTCAAAGTTGTTGTGAGAATCAAATGAGATAATAGTTGTAAAAAACACAGCTCAGTGCCTGGCACATAGTAGGTGCTTAATGAATGCTTGTTTTCTTTCCTTAATAAGTGCTTATTGATTAAACTGAGTTGACCCCTCACCTCAGCTTCATCTGCAAAACAAGGGTAAGTTTAGACTAAATTATCTTTTTAGGCCCTTCCAGCTCTGACATTCTATAATTCTTGCCCAGATGACTGAAGTAATCATCTTCCTGACACATCCCTAGGACTACATCACTCTCTTGCCAAATTAAATATAAACTCCTGACTGCCATCCAAGGCCAGCCACAATCTTCTCTTAAGCAGTCGATCAATGAGCAAGCATTTATTAAATGCCAACTACATACCAGGCACCCTGCACCGCAAACCACCTGGCCTTAACTCATATGCTGTCACGCATATTCCGCGGCACAGCCCTGCTCTTGGCCCCCCGTTCTTGTCCTATGTCGAGGCCTTGGTTTATTATGCCATTCCCCCTGCCTAGAATGAACTTTCCCTTCATCCCCCCATCTCTTGAAGTGCTACGGTCACTGTCTTCCTGCCGGGCCCAATTCAGGTACCACCTCTTGCTGAAGCTGTCCCTGACCCCATCCCCTGCCCCTACACAATCTTACCATCCTCGAATTTCTCATGGCATCTTGCTCAGACTGTCCCTGGGCACTTACCTCCCTTCCCTGTGTGTCACACTTTTGGAGGTCTTGTCCTTGCCTTCATTAAAGCGTAAACTCCATGGCAGTAGACCAGTATTATAGCTTTCTTTGTATCCCCAGAGTGAGCATAGCACAGGTGCGTATTAAATTGAACTGAATTGAATTAAATCAGCTCTCTTTCATCAATCAGATACACTGATATCTGACACTATCTCCCTATAGTTTTACCATTAGCTGCCTACTTGCATCCTTACCCTTAATGGAAAAGAAAGGATTCACAAGGGCTGGAGAGAAGGGATCCTTTTGCACCCCCAGAGACCTTCCAAGTCACGGCTCAGATTCCAGCAGAGAGAATGATTTTGGCTGCCTTGATTTAACTTAGGCAAGATGGATCCTGTCTTGGAATTGGAGATAGGTGACATATTTGCTTCCATGAAAATTAAATGCATCATGCTGACCCATACCCAGCATGAACCTGGCGAAAGGGCTGTCTGGCCAAGACGGGTAACTTGTTGGGCATCTTTCCCAGGAGCCAACCCGGTTTCTTCTTTTTTCCCCAGTTCCCTGTTCTGAGAATCTCTTTGCTGGGACCTCATCTCATTTCTCGTTCAAAGCCCTTCATGATCCAGCCACGTCCTATCTTTCCAGACTCTGCATGCTTGGCACCCTTCTGCCTGCTCTACAGTCCAGTGACAGTGTTGCAATTGCTGTTCCCAGTGCTCAGCACATTAACTGGCACGTAGTAGGTGCTTAATAGATTGCCTGCGTAGGACAGGCCACCTCTGAACTCCATGCATTTGTAGTGGCCATTGCCCATTCCTGGAATGCCCTGCCCCTCCCACCTCCTCCAGTCCCTCTGGCTTCCTTCGAGACAGCCCAGGGCCTGCCTTCTTCAGGAGTCTTAGCCTCCACCACCTTCCATCTAGTCTGAATATATCTTGTCAGTGCCTGCTTTTTTACATGTTGACTCCCTCATTAGCATGTGAACTCCTTCCGGGCAGAGAAAGGATTTTCTGTCTCTCTCTGTATCCCCAGCACATAGCAGAGCGACTGCTCAATAAATGCTTGTTCACTGACTGATCAACCTCCTCTAAGTCTTTGTGACCTTCCTTCTCTGTAAAAGTTGTAATCTGTGGCCATTAAAAGTACAGGATACGGCATTAGTGTTATGAAAAATTGGAAAAGAAAGGCGGACCAGCCATGTAACAAGACCGATAGTAAACTGATAGGGGCAGCTAGGTGGTGCAGTGGGTAGAACACCAGCCCTGAAGTCAGGAGGACCTCAGTTCAAATCCAGCCTCAGACTAAACACTTGACACTTACTAGCTGTGTGACCCTGGGCAAGTCATTTAACCCCAATTGCCTAAAAATTAAAATTAAAAAAAATGAAAAAAGAGTGAACTGATAGACAGCCCAAGACCTGTGCCAGAACCCAGGGAATGTTTTAAAAAATGATCTAGAAGAAGCCCTCCAATACATTATGCCTGCAGCCTTCTTTGGAGGATTCATGGGAGAATGCGGCCAAGAATCACACAAGATGAGAAAGTGGACTGATGGAGAGAGATAAAGAGGATGCAGACAACGACGACGATGATGATGATGATAATGATAATAATAATAATAATAATAACTGACCTTTGTATGCAGCCCTTTAAAATCTGAAGAGCCCATTGATGTATTTTTAATAAGCACTATACACTATGGGTGAGTTTACTTATAAAGTGCATGTAGTAGACCTGACATCCTATATCTTTCCTGCCTTGAGATATTGGCAAATGCATTTGCCAAACTGAGGGCCCAACTCAAATCAGTGAATTACATCTGAGCATTGAAGCAGTGTGGATCACTGGACAGATCACTGACCTCTGGCCCATAGGTAGGACCTGATTTCCAATCTGCCCGTTTATTAGCTTTATGATCTTGGACAAGTCACTTCCCCTCTAGGCCTCAGTTTCTTTCTCAGTAAAAAGCAGGGGGAAGGGGGGGGGTCAGGCTAGATTGTCTCTGAGGTTCCTTTCAGCTCTAAATCAATCAACTGTAACAAATGGTTTCTGCCTGAGAGTCTCCTGGAACTTTAGAGGTATCAGGACCAGCTTCTTCTGTTATGACCTCCACTCCTCTCCTTTCAGATGGCAGAGCAGCTGATGACCCTGGCTTATGACAATGGAATCAACCTGTTTGATACAGCCGAAGTCTATGCTGCTGGAAAGTAAGTGTGCTTTTTATATTCCTTCCCTTATACTTTCTCTATACAACCCTTCCTTAGGAATCTATCAGGACCAGGAAGCTCATGCTAATTTTTGCTATAGCTATTTTTGCTAATTTTTCTAAGGATAATTAATAGGGGACCGTGAAAGGGTGTGCTGGTAAATATTTAACAACCAGCTTTCCAGGGGGGGAATGGCACAGTGTGCACAGAACACATTTTAAAGTTTAACCTTCATGTTAACCTTTTCTCCATCACTTTTTTAAATCTAGACAATCGACCAAACAATAAATCAAACCGTTGTATTATTTGCCAATTTCTGAGGTATAATATGCCCACACTGAGCATTGACTAAGGTACAAGCTGGCGCCAGCACCCTACTAAGACTGCATAGATGAACTGTAGCTGGCTGGCCACCATGGATCCAAGAATTGTCATAAACATGCTTCCCATCCAATTTTTTTTTTTACTTTAAATTGCTTTGTAGAAGGAGTGTAGTTGAGGCAGAAGGGAGAAGCATTACTGAAAGAATGGCAATGCTTGTCACTGGAGTTGACTACAGACCACCTGGACAGAAGGTAGAGATGGATGAGGCATTTGGGAAGCAGATGACGGGCCTGCCACAGAGGCATGACATGTTGGTGGTGGGGTACTTCAGCTATCCAGATATCTGCTAGAGCTTATAAGAACTTCTTCACTTGCCTTGCTTAGTGATGCCTTCATCCTCCGAAAAGCAGAGAAACCAACAAGGAGAAACTCTGTCATGGATCTTATTCTCACAAACAGGGAGGAACTTGTTTTCTGGGGTAGAAATGATAGAAACCCTGGGGGGATGTTACCAGCCCATACAAGAGAATGTGGGAGGGGAAGAAATCTGGACATAATCTGATATGCAACCTAGCTTTTGGAAAAGGATATTTCAGGGAGTATGGAGGAAATATTGGTGGGTGCCATGGACCAAAATGTTACAGGGAAAGTCAGATCAGGAAGGATAAGACATGCTCAAGAATGAAATCCTGAAGACAGAAGGGGAAACCGTTCCAAGGAAGAGGGAAAAATAGGAGTTGTAAGAAGAGACATATGTGGATGCCCAGAGAACTCACCAACCATCTTAGATTTTAAAAAGAAATGTTCAGAAGACAGGGCAATGCCAGATTGAGAGAGATTGAACGCAAATGTAGCACGTTTATGCCACAGTGTCTGGGATACTCAATCTCAGAATGGACCAGGGCTGGCCAGGGAAATTAAGGACAACAAAAAGGGGGTTGTTTAGTTAAGCTGGGAAAAAATAGGATCAGAGAAAGGATGGGATCTTTCTTTGGGGTAGATGGGATAATAGCCCCCTCACTGCCCTTGATAAAGTCAAATCACCCAGCCCAGGCAAACTACATCCTGGGGTCCTGAAAGAGCCAGGGGCTGTGACTGCCTAGGCTGTTGTCAGTGACGTATGAAAGCTCATGGAAAAAGGGAGAGATACCATGAAATTGGAAGAGGATAAGTATTCCAGCTTTCCAGAAGGAGAAGAACAGAGGGTCTACTAGTTAAAGGTCAATGGCTTTGACTTCAACTCCCGGGAAAATCCTAGAAAGGATTGTTAAAGAGATGGTTGGCAAACATCTAGAAAGGGCAGCAGTGATTACAGAGGGCCAGCAGGGCCTGATTAAGGACAGGTCATGCCAGGCTCTCCTCATTTCCTTTTCTGACAGAATCAATCAGCCAATAAGCAGTCATTAAGTGTCTATGGAGACAGAGAGGTGTGGACCATGCCATCTAATGTAATTGGATGGATTCAGAACTGGGTAATTGGCTGCACACAGAGCAATTGTTAATGGTTTGACGTGGCCATGACCGGTCTTCAATGGAGAGATTTGTGCTTGACCCTGGGCTGCATAACAGTTGCATCAGAGACTTAGCTAAAGGAACAGATGGCATACTCAAAGTATTTTTAGATGACCCCAAGCTAAGAGGGATAGCTAACACAGTGTATGACCAAGTCAGGATCCAAAGGGATCTTGTCTGACAAGAGCCCCAAGCCGGATTTAATAAGGGGAAACCCAGAGGGGATAAATGTAAAGTCTTGCACTAAGGTACAAAAAATCAGCTTCACAAGGTCAAGATGGCAGAGGCCTGGCTGGGAAGTTGTTCATTAGATTGTGAGCTCCCCAAGGTAGGAACTGCCATTTGCCTCCTTTAGTATCCCCAGCGCTCAGCACACTGCCTGGCACATAGTAGGTACTTAATCAGTGGCACCCTGCCTGGCACATAGTAGGTGCTTAATAAATGTTTGTTTGAGTTAACTCTGAAGTGAATCCAGGACATGAAGCTTAATATGAGCTTGCTGTCAGTGCAACGGGGTGCAAAAGCCAAAGAAGCAGATGCCCTCTTGGTCTGCATTAGGAGGGCCATAGCTTCGAGAAACAGGGAACTGAAAGTCCTGTTGTACTCTGCCCTTGTCAGACCTCATCTGGAGCATCCAGTTCAGTTCTGAGCCTCTGTTTATAGAGGGCATTGGATGTCCAGAGGAGAGTGTCCAGCTAGGACGGTGAAGGACCTTGAATTCATGTCAGATGAGGCTCGGCCGAAGGAACTGAGGGTGTTTAGCCTGGAGAAGAGAAGACTCAGGGACCGGGGCACATGGTAACTGCCTTCAAGTATTTGAAGGGCTGCTGTCAAGGGAACAGGGATCATTAGAGGCATTCTGTTTGGCCCCAGAGGACAGAACCGAGAGCAGTGGCAGCAGTTGCAAAGAAGCCAGTAGAAGTTTCATGTCAGAAGAAATTTCCTGAGGTTAATGCTGTCCCAGAGTGCAGTAGACTGCCTTGAAGGGGCTGGCTTCCTCTTGCACAGAGACGTTCAAGCAGAGGCCAGATGGCCACGTGTAAGGTATGTCCTGAGGGGGATTCCTTTATGCATCAGCTGGACTAGGTGGGGGCTAAGCTCAGAGTGAGGAAGACCTGGGTTCAGATCCTATCTCTGACACTTCCTCATTGACCATGGGCAGCAATAAGAATGATAAGAAGAGCTAACATTCACATAGGTTTGTAAGGTGCTTTGCACACATATCTTATCTGACCCCTGCAAAGGAAAGGCTGCTGCTATGCCCATCTTACAAATGAAGAAACAAAGGCCCAGAGATGTTACCTGGCTTGCCAGCTAACAAATGTTTGAGGTAGGGTACTTCTATCCCAGCTTTCCTGACCCAAATCCAACATTATCCATTATACTTTGTTCCTTGGACAGCTCTCTTAACTTGGGGTCCATGAAATTGTGGGTTTTTTTTAAATATCTTAAAATATTTTAATAACTGTGTTTCAGTCTAATTGGTTTCCTCTGCAATCCTACGTATTTTATCTTATGCGTTTAAAAACATGATTTTGCAAAAGGGTCTGTAGGCCTCAGTTGCTTTGTCTATAAAATGGGGATAACAAGAGTTATTGAGAGGCTAAAATAAGATAGCATATGAAAAGTGCTCTGAAAACCTTGAAGCTCTCTAGAAATAAATTGGTTAATTTTTTAGTTAATTAATTTATTAAGCATCTATTATGTGCCAGAAATTAGTTGGCACAACGGATAGAGCTCTGGACCTGGAGCAAAGACCCACGTTCAAATCTGGCCTTAGACACTTACTAGCTGTGTGACCCTGGGCAAGTCACTTAACCCTGTTTGCCTCAGTTTCCTCATCTATAAAATGAGCTGGAAAAGGAAATGGCAAACCACTCCAAGATCTTTGCCAGGAAAACCCTAAATGAGGTCACAGAGAGTTGGACACGACTAAAAAACGATTCAATAATAACAACAACAATTTGCTTTCTTTGGCTTTGGGAAGATATTACTCCCACTGGGGCAGGCTCCTATCATGGCAGGAGTGGGAACGAGGTTCTTTTTCATAGGCTTAATGAACTTCTAATCGAGTTGGAAAGAGCCTTCTGTCCCCCTGTGCCCATGGTGATCTACCGAGCAAGGCACTTGATTAAGCTGTCTTGCTCAGCTCTCCTACATGCAGATGACCTGTGCCCAGTCCAATGTTCCTTGATATATTTTTTTTCTTAATGCTGCAATTAGGGCTGCCGAGAAGAAAGGACCTTTTACCCTGGAGTACCGTTTTAAGCACTTAGTATCTCTGCAATGATCTTTCTTCCTCAATTATGGAGAAGCACAGCCCACTCCAGCCCCAGCTATTGGCTTAAAATTCAGAGAGCGGATGTAATCAAATCATTCCACTCTCCTGCACCCAGTTTCCGAAAGCTATCTTTTGTTTGCTAAATCATTCATTTGAACCCTTTGTCAGTTCTTCACCGTGACCAGAATTTCATGAAATGGGATGGTACAAGGAATACAGAATCTAATATCAGAAAGAAGTCTGGGGTTCAAAATCTGGCTCTGCCATTTACTACCTGGGTGATCCCTGTGTATGTTACCTTCCCTGGACCTCCCTTTCCTCATTTTTGAAACAAAGAAGATTTTTCTTATTTGTTTTCTACCCATCAATGTCATTGATCATTGATTAAGCATCTACTGTGTGCCAGGTGGCTAGGTAGTTCAGTGGATAAAGCATTGGACCTAGAGTCAGGAAGACCTGAGTTCAAATATAGCCTCAAATACTTACTAGCTCTGTGACCCGGGGCAAGTCACTTAACCCCTGTTTGCCTCAGTTCCTCATCTATAAAATGGGGACACATAAAACGGAGAGGGAATGGCCAACCACTCCAGTATCTTTTCCAAGAAACCCCCCCAGACAGAGATGATGGGGTCATGTAGAGTTGGACATGACTGAATGATCAAACAGTGACAAATGTGCCAGGCACTCTGCCAAGTACTGGCAATACAAAGAAAGGCAAAACAAGGTCCTTGCTCTGAAGGCACTCACGGTCTAACAAAGGATAAAACATACACATAACTGTATGTACAAGATATATACAGCATAATTGGGAAGTGATCTCAGAGGGAAGGTGGTGGTGTTGAGTGGGACTTACCTACAGAAAGGCGTCCTGCAGAAGGTAGGG